TAAAAAGTTAGGGAATTTAATTGTTGAAATTGACTGGCCACCCACTCGGTTTTTAATAATCAATGCATTAATAAGGTTTTTTCATTTTTTATTTATCGCATTTAAGTTTAACGCAACTACGCATTTATAAATTCTGGGGCTTTCCAATATGGCGTCTTTTGACTTCAAAAATTTTGAAATTTTATTAGGAGATGCGCTATCCAGTTATTATAGAGATCAGTGGTACAGACGCCTAATAAAGTAGATATAAACTTTATAAATTTGCGCTCTTAAAGTCCGCAAATTAACAAGGAAACAGTTTTTGTCGGTCAAAAGTACAACGTTCTAGTCTGGTCAAAGGTACACGAGATGGGTTTCTTTAACAATTATCGTCTTAATCCCCATTTACGGTCAGACATAACCATCCAAACTTTTCCATAACAAAAAAATGATGTTGGGAAATATTTACAATGACGTATATGAATCAAACAGTGAGTGATTCTTTCGATAAAAAGCAATTTGTATTAGGGACTTTTATAGATTTATCTAAAGCGTTCGACACAGTTAATCAAAATTTCTTACTTAAAAAAATGGAAAGATATGGTGTTAAAAATATATCCCTTGACTGGTTCAAAAGTTACCTGAGTAGCAGAAAACAATGCGTTGTTACAGATCATAATAAATATTCAGACCTACTAGAAATAAAATGCGGAGTTCCCCAAGGTTCCATTCTGGGTCCCCTTTTATTTTTAATATATATCAACGATCTTCCAAAAGCCCTAAAAAAACTTGATGTAATAATGTTTGCTGATGATACAAATTTATTTTACTCATCGCCGTCTATAAGCGACCTTTACGAATCTATGAACACTAACCTCGAAAACCTCAACATCTGGTTTAAAGTTAATAAATTATCTTTGAATACAGATAAAACAAAACATATCTTGTTTCACTCCAACCGTCTTAAAAACTTTATACCAGACACTCTACCTTCACTAAAAATTGATAACATAAACATCAAAAGAACTGAAATAACTAAGTTTTTTGGAATAATTATTGACCAGAATATTAATTGGAAAGCCCATATTAATATAATAAACACAAAAGCATCAAAAAGTATCGGCGTACTCTACAAAGCCAAACCTATGCTTTCCCAAGACAACTTAAAAATTCTCTTCTTTTCTTATATTCAAAGTTACCTAATATACGCTAATATTGCATGGGGAAGTACCCATAAAACTAAATTAAATTCACTCTACATACATCAGAAACATGCATCGAGATTAATTTATAATAAAGATAAATTCACTCATGCCGACCCTTTACTTAAAAATTTGAATGCATTAAATATCTATCAAATAAATATTTACCAAAATATCTTATTCATGCTAAAATACAAACTCGGACTTGTTCCGAAATACTTTACTGATAGCTTTTTTCATATCAACGCAAACAAATACATCACACGAGGAACAGGCAACTTTACCATGCCTTTAAAAAAAACAAAATTCTCGCGATTTTCTTTAATATACCGTGGCTCATACTTACATAACAAAATAATACTTCAAAATATGGAACTTAATAAAATAGATAACCTTATTGCTCTGAAAAAAAAACTAAAACATATCATAATTAACTTAACCAACTTCATCGAAATGTATTAAACAATTTGTGAAAAATAGTAATAATAAAAAGCCCTACTATTTCTACTCTATAGTAGATACCAAAATACTTATGTGTATTTGTTGAACTAGTTCATTAAAGTTTATTTTATGTTTTAAAGGTTCTCGATGAAAAGAATATTTTAGTCTTCTGCGAGTTTCCTTACAACAAAGTAAATATTTTTTAAGAATAATTTTATATATATATATATATATTCAACAACGTCCACAAGCAAGTCCCTAGTAGCCCTGTGGTACGACGGACTTGCATATATTTTTTAAATGCATAGGTTAATAGCCAGCACTTTATATTATAAACAACGAATAGTTACCTTATTTTGTACACTGTACAACGCGCATGCGCTAAACAGAATTTTGAATTTCTTTTGTCTTGTAAAGATTTTAATGGTACAAAAATTGTTTAATTGTACGTTTTGTAGTTATATGTAAAAATATGTAATTTTGTTTTATTGAAATATATACGGATACTTTTGTTGTAAAAAAAAACAAAAAAAAAACAACAATTTATCACATTTTTAAAATCAGAAAAAGGTTAACACAAATATTTACTTTTTAAGAGCCAAAACTTATAATTACTTGTGGATCAATACCATCTATCCCAAGTATGATGTTTTACGGTAAGAAGAGTTGTCATGGACTATTGTTTCAAATGGCGCTTCACGTTTTTTGAAAATAGTAATAGTAAGCCGACAGAGTAGAGTGACCAAAGGTACAACGTGGTCAAAGGTACAACAGGTTCCCCTACTATTGTTAAAGTTGCTTGTTAAACCTTTATTGAACAACGGGCAGAGTTTTTTATTAAAGCAGTTACAGTTTTCTTGATTAGGATTTGTATCGTTGCATAAAATGTATTTGTTGTGCGAATTCATAATAGATTTTACACTTGGCATACAACAGTTGCTAACTTTGACTGTGTTTCTGTTGAAGATTTTATGCAGCTTGTTTTTATTAGGAAAATGTTTGTCAATTAGTTTCAAAAAACATTTTCTCACGTTGGTACTAACGTTTTTGCTAAATGGAGGGTTAAACCAAATGATGTTGCGTGCTCTGTTCCGTTTTTGAGTTGATATTGCTTAAGGATTATATGTTAGACTACATTTATAACCAGACTTTAATAAAGCTTCATTATATAGAGAAATAGTATTTTGAAATATTTCTTTGTTAGCAGAATTTGTAGACAATCCAAGTTCAACCGAATGTGGCATTTGTTTTAGAATATTTGGCGGGTGATTTGAATCAGCATGGATATAACTTAATGTATTGTCAGGTTTGAAAGTGAAGTCACTAAGATTTAGAGTTACATTGACAATTTTCATGTTGCATTATATAGAATAGTCATTGCATTTAAATATTTCTACAATATGCTTGTTTATTTTTTTATTTGAGGGCCGCTTTTATTACTAAAAACTGCCATCGTCACGGTATAAACCAACCTCAAACTTGTTAGAAAATTTTGAAATTTTGAAAAGAAGAAATATTCCTACCAGCTCAAAAACCTCTGCGCCGTTGAACGCTCCCACGGAAACATCAAATAAAGCACTTGATTACTTTATCCGAACCTGATCATTATCAAAAAGCAAAGACTTTCTTGCATGAAAAATTAATGATACGTTCTCTTGATTTAGTGTTAGGTGTTACTCCGCAAAATTAATAGTGTTTTTTAGAAATGCTTCACTAATAGAAGGGTAGAAGTCAATAATATCAAAAATTAATAATTATAAAGGTGTTTATCTTTTATGGCCTTAAACCATTCGATAAGATATCGAGTGTTTTTCAATTTAATTGTAAAATATTTCTTAGGTCTGTATTAATTTTAGAAAAAATATCTTTACTAATTCTACCAACATCATTTTTAGCAGGATTCAATAAACGGACAGCCGGATTGTTTTCTTTATGGTCTTTTAAAGTAAAAAAAGTAATCGGAAGCTGATTAATGTCAATTTTATTGAAAACTTCATGATTTTTCAAAAGACGTTTACCTTCTATGTTTACTTTATTTATCATGTTTGAGTTAGATAATTTGTAGTTTGAAATGATGGCATTTCTTAACAAGTGGTTATAATCATTTTTAGATTAATTGTAAAGATCGGATGTTTTATCAACATATGTATAAGTTAGATTAGATTTTCGAATATTGTTTATACCTTGTTTTAATTTATTTTGAAAACTGCTTTGAACCTTTTGAAACCTAATGTGTTTTACAAGATCAATGAGTTCGTTCTCGAAAGCTAGCATTTCTATAATTTGTTTTGGATGATTAGATGTTTTTAATCCGTAGTTATAATAAAAATTGTTCTTACTTTTTGAACTCTTGTTTAAAAAGAAAAACGCTTTCCATCGCATTTTTTAAATATATATTAGGACCCTGCGAAGCTTCGAAATTTCGAATCAAAAATATGATTCGAGATACAATTCGAAAATTTTTAAAAATCGAACTCTTACTTATTTTGTTTTTGTTGTGGATATTTTAGATATTCTGCGCTTTGGTGCTATCAAAATAACGTTACTTATCCTTAAATACCTTTTTGATCAGTCATTAAAAAGGTTAACCAGGGCAAGAAGCATCAGTAAAGAGATTATACAATTGCTTTATTTTATTTTGAAATATATATTATTAAATAAAAAATGCTTAAATTTAGACTTTAAAATTTTGATTCAAAACATGATTCGAATCGTGAATCAAGACCTGCTTTGATTCGAGATTCGATTCGACACAAAAACTGCCGATTCGCAGGGCCCTAATATATATATATATATATATATATATATATATATATATATATATATATATATATATATATATATATATATATATATATATATATATATATATATATATATAAATGACAGTTTGGGAGAGAGTCATAATAACAATTTTAAAAAAATTCCCCAACAAGCGAACTTTAAAAAAGAAATTTTGATTGTCAAGTTTAGGCATACTTTGAAAAAAAAAAAAAAAAAAAATTTGGGCAAGGAACGATTACATTAAAAAGAAAAAAATTTTTGTTATTATTTAATTTATATTATATATCACACACAAATAAAAACATGCAACATGTAGACAAAAATTACTATTAAAAGCGTAGATGCGTTCGAATGAATGGTTCGAAGTAAGATTTTATTTTATAGAAAGGAAAACTAAACAAAAAAATAGAGTTATTCAATTACAAAACAAATTGCCAATCTAAATTACGTTTTTATAAAATTTGCTATTTTCAAATAATTATAAAAGATTGTAAAAAGATACCTTATACAAACAGTTTCTTTTTTTTTTAAAACAAATATACAAACACAACAAAACATTTAACTACACATGACAAATACTGAAAAATAAATATCGAATTTAATTATCTTTATTTAGGTTTAGGTATAATTTTTTAAGACAATTACAATAAAATTCAAAAATGTAGCATTACTCGTTTTCAAAAAATAAACCACTTGCTCAATTATTCTCTAAAAAGCATTTCTTTTTTTTTTGTTACATTTATAATTTAATATTGCAAAATATTTTTAAATATATAAAAAATAATTTCAATATATAACTTTTTTTGTCCAACAGAAAAAAACAGCAATATATATTTTTTATAGTTAAAGTCTAAATTAAATATTAAATTTGATTAGAAAATGAAACTATAGCAAATTAAATGAAAGGCTTTTTACTCGATAAAAAAGTTAATAACTATATTCACTATAAAAAAAAAAAAAAATGTCCACATGAGAATATAATTATTGTTATGAAAAATTTATTATCATACAATACAAAATATGTATTGTGAATTTTCAAATTACAGTACAATTGTATTTATATTTATATTCTCAGGTAACAAATCTTGTAAATATGTAACTTAAGTTTAACTATATCTGTTTTGATTTAAAAATGAAAAATAAAAATAAACACTTTAAATAAAAATAACTATCACTAAAAATAAATAACAAGAAAAAAAAAAAAACTAAAATAAGTTATTAAATAACGATTTTATCTTTTTTTCTAAGTAAAAAAAGAAAGCTTAATAAATACTGCTATAGCTATGGCAGCTGTTTTTATAACTTAGCAATTAACAAACGTTACTAAAATATTTTATTTAAAAAATTCTAACAGTGAGTTAATGTCACCAAAAGACAAGATGAAAATTATAGTAAATTAATTTTTTATTTTAAAATCATATTTAAAAGATAGTGAAGATGATAAATAACTTGTTTAAGCAATTTATTATAAATTATAATACGAAACATATATTTTAAATCTTTCCAATCACTCAAAAATGGTCTGAAAAATATCTTTAAAATAAATTTATTAAACTGATATACGATTTAAATTGTTTCCATTGTCAAAAGACTCTTTATTGTACTTTCGCTTATAGCAACCACCATTGTTAAAAGAATTCACTTCATTAGGAGCAAAAAAAAAGGGCAAAGATTGATCAGCACACAAAGGATATAAGAATGTATCTTTGATGGGGTTTATACATATAGGAGGCACCATGTAGCATTCAGTTTTCTGAACTGGAAAATTATAGTGATAGTGTAATGGATGAATCTAAAATAAATGATATAAAAACACTGATGCATTTAAATTGTAGAGCAAAAAAAATTTGTATAGAAAAAAACAATACATTTATGAAAATAAAATCAAATAATTATAGTAATATAAATAGTATTAAAAATAACAACATCAACAACAAAAAAACTACTATAATGCCACTAAAAAAATTCTTGTGAAAATCCCCTGACTACACTGCGCGACATAATAATAAGACACCCCAAAAAAGTTTTTATAAAACTCTACTATACATTTATATTTAAAAACTAATTTTTATAGTAAATGAGAGCAAAAGGATTAAAAGACTAAATAACATTTTAACAAATTTATTTTTAACGTAACTCGCATTTTATAAAAAAGAAAAAACATTTTCTCAGTGCGAAAAAATTAAAACAATTTTGGAAAAAATTCATATAAATTATCATTATAAAAATACGTCTCAATTAAAATCTATTATAAACAACCAATAGTGGGCATTTTACCATTTTTTTGAATCACTTTAATCATTCTAGAAGGTAAAGAATTATACAACTTTTTTATGTACGAAATGTCAATTGCATCCCATGCAGATGCGATGGATGATTTCAAGTTAGCTAGTAAACTATATTGTTTACCACCTTCAAACACTTTATGTGACAGGTGTGCTCAAGCATTCTTAATAATGTTCAGATCTGGAGATCTACCTGGTCACTTCAATGTTTCAATTTTACTGCTGTTAAAATATTCCTTTACTATCTTAGCTGTATGAACGCTAGCATTATCTTGCTGAAAGACAAATTTTTCAACACCTATTACAGATGCTTCACGTCTTAAAAATTCTTGAACAATTAAAAGATGATCCTTAGCCTTCATTTTTCCGTCATTAAAATGAACTTTTGATTTATTATGATACCCAATCACACAGCAAATTATTACACCACCACCACCCATTTGAAGGTCGTCGCTGTGTTACTTTATGCCATTATGAAAATAATAATTTCATCTATCCGACCCATCAAGACAAAATCGTTTTTCGTCAGAAAATACTACTGTTCCCGCACTTCTTTCCATGTTACCTGGTCCTTTGCAAAAGTTATTCGATTGTTTATGTGATTAGTTGTCAAAGGTGGTTTTCGCTGAAGTTTTTTTGCGTGAATAACTTTTGAATAACTCGCTGAACTGTATGTAAATTAGCAATCCCACTTGCTTCTGCAGCAATTTGATGTGCAGTTAAAGAAAAATTTGAAGCGTGTCTCAACCACCTTTGCCTATCACCATCACTTATTGTTAATGAACGTCTGGAACTTTTTTTATTCCATACATATGAGGACTATTAGCGTAGTTTTTAATCACAGTTCGGCTGCGTCCATTAGCTCTAGCCATGTAACTAATGGAGTGACCCATTTTCGATAAGATAGAGAGCACTTTTTTCTCATCTGGATTCAATGATGCAGCACGACCCATTATTAATTAATTTGTTATTTATACTTAATAAAAAAAAACCTAAACTAAATTTTTGACAGTTTACAGTAAAATATTTATCTGTGGTGTTTACATCAGGTAAATACTTTTAATTGCCACAACTGCGGTTTGCAAATAAAACGTTTTTTGTAAAATTGTCTTATAATTTTGTCGCACTGAAAAAAAAGATTTTCTTTTATAAAATGCGAGTTATGTTAAAAATAAATTTGTTTAGTGTCGTAAACCCTTTGCTTTTATTTACAATAAAAATTAGTTTTTAAATATAAATGTATAGTCATATTATCATTATGTCGCGCAGTGTAAGACATCCCGCATATATATATAGTAGGCACCATATAGCATTCAGTTGGTAGAGCAATATATATAATATTAAAAACAATGACAACAAAAAGTATAGTAATACAAATAGTACACACACACTGACCTCCAAAATATCAGCAACCAAATAAAAAATCTACTTTTTCAACTTTAATTACTGACTACAGGATTTTTTTTTTTTAAAAACCCTTTAAAAGAAATCAAATTCATTGCATATAAAGAGAAGATTTGTACATAATACTATTACCTGAAAAAAAAATGTTGTTTTGCATATATTGGAACTTTAATGTAAAAATGTGGTCTTCCAAAACATTAGTAACCTATTTATAACTATAAAAAAAACATTTTTGTGATTGATGTCGTATTATATGAAATGATGTTGACTTGTGATCAGAGTTTTGAGCTGTTTTGGTAAAAAAAACTTTGAAATGTTGAGATTTCTGTCTTACAAATGATTTTTTGAAGTATAATTTAGTTTAGTTTCAAAAACATATTATCAAAGATTATAAAAAAGGAGTCAAATGAGAAGAAATTTAGTACTTAGCCACTAAGTACTCCATTATTAAGTCAATTGTATGTCAAATAGGCAAACGATTTAATAAAGACAGTTCTTTAGAAACAAAACATAAGTACACAAGACTATGCAAACATGTCCTTTAATTAAAATAAAAATATTCATCTTGTCAAAATGAATCCTTATGACAGTGCTAATTATAAAATTAATAAAAAAAGTTGCGGAACAATAAATCAAAGTATAATTTGAAAGGTTTTGATGGCAATTTGAAGGTGCGTAGATCTAATAGTATGTTTGGATCCTAAATACATAAGAGGAAAGGTCAAATATAGGGGTAGTAAGTGACCAGGTACCATTGTCATCATCATCATCATCATCATCATCATCATCATCATCATCATCATCATCATCATCATCATCATCATCATCATCATCATCATCATCCTTAACTAAAGCTTGTTCATACCATTTGTAAGGCATTCTCTCCAATTTTCCTTAATTCTACCTCTATTTAATCCTGAAGCTGCTACTTCTCTAGATCATCTTCTCTTTCAACAAATACTATACAATATAAATACTAAAGTTTATATAAATATGTAAAGATATTGTATGCTAACATCTAAATAAATAGCAAATATATGTTTATATTCATATATATATATCCATATCATATGTGCATAAATGCGGTTCTTACCTAACCTCCTGGATCCAAGCAGGATGAAGGCTTTTACTCTTTTTCATAAGCTTTGAGTTAAGCCTCATTCTACTCCATGTCTTTTGCCTTCTTATGCAGTTGCTATATTAAACCATAAACATTTTTTTCAACCTTTTTTACTAGAACATCTCTTGAGAACAAATGTCTTTTTATTATTGCTATGTAAAAAGGGTCCTGTCTGATGCTAAGATTCTCAGTTTACTGAATCTTATATCTTATCTCGATGTTAGGTTCTAAAGACTTTTAGAAAATTTTCAACAGTGTCATTTACTAAAGTCTAACATTCAATCTGTAAATCATGGGTTTGATCTTATTACTTCTCCCCAGAATAAAGCAGAGTTATTTTCAAAGAACTTTACCTCTAATTTGACTCTTGAACCTAATAGCCATAATCTTCCTGTTCCAGTTAAACAGATATGTTAGACATACAAATCACTTTAACTTTGGATGCTTCTACAGATTGTAGTTCAGACAACATTTCCATTATAATCGTACAAAAGTGTTCTCAAGAACTATCTTCAACTCTTGCTGAGCTATTAATAATTACTAAATAAGTTGTTCCAATTTTTACAAACTATAGAAAACACACTGACCTCTCTAACTATCCTACAATTAACCTTCTCTCTACTATGAGTTTTTTTAGATAAAGGTTTTGATATTATTAAATCATTTCTTTTTAACTGCAGCATTATAATCATTCTTGAAGCCTACACTTTTCTTTATTTCTAGTAACTTTAGGGGTACCACAAGATTCTATCTTTGCTCAGTTATTTACTGCACACAACTATCGCAATATCGCAATATTATTCATTGCTCATTGTTATAAAGCATCTCGCATTCTTGTCATTTAGCTAAGCTACATTCTTTTACTGTATCTATCCTTTCATGTTATAAAAACTTTTATTTAATTATCTTTTAGATCGCACAACAACAAAACCTTAAAATTCTTATAATTATGGCAAGCCCAGGCCAGGTTTGGGCCAGGTGGGGCCCAGTCACTTACTATATGGTGGTAAAAAAAATACAATAATTTTCGGGTTGTTTTTCTGGTTTTAGTGGAGTTGGAACTATTCATTGAATAATTTTAAAAAAAGATAATTCCTCCAGTTGATAATATGCCTCTTCTATGGACGTTTCAACAAGAAACACACAATTTTAAATTCTTTAAACATTGGTCAACAGCAATTCAAATTAAAGTAACAAAGTGGCCAGTTCAATTACCTGATCTCAAACTGAAAATTTTTAAACAAGTTAAACTTTCTCTAAAATGCAGATGAGCTTTATAAAAAACGTGGATGAGCTATAAAAAGCTATTGAAGCTGTGGAATGAGAATACACACACAAAAAAAAAGCAGAAAAGATGTGACATAGTCCTTAAAAGTAAATGGTATGTCATTATCATTAATATGCAATTATTGATTTTAGTATTATTTTAGAAGTTATTAAAAAGTTATATTTTGGAAGACCACATTTTTACATTAAAATATCAATACAAGTTAAAAAACATATTTATTAATTTTCATGTAGTTGTATTATGTATTAAACTTTTCCTTGCATGTAATAACAATTATGTTCTGATTAAAGAGTTTTTTTTTTAAAAAAAAAAAAAAAAAAAGTAGGGTCATGGCACCCCTACCATGAAGAAGCACCTACCATGGTTTTTGAAAAAATCAGTAAATAGTTAAGTAAAATCAGTAAAAAAATAAATAAAAAAAAGCATAAATTTTTTATGCTTTTTTTTTAATTTATTTTTTTAGTATTGTTTTATACAAAAATAACTTATTTCAGTAATAATATAGTTTTTAAAAATATATATTTTTAAAGATTTGAGATGTTCTTTTACCCACAAATAATTTTTTATTGTTTTTTTTAAGAAAATCTTTAACAGTAAAAAAGTTTGTCTAGTTTTTTTTATGGCTTAAAATTTATATTTTTTTTTTGATAAAAGTTTAAAATAGTTGTAAAAGCATTAAATATTTTAAATTTTAT